CCCAAATGGCACCGGTATGTGCAAAAACATGTGTTTTTGGTGCTTGTTTTTGTGGAGTGGGTTGTTTTTGTGTTGGTGTTGTTGTGTGTGTGTGGGTGTGTGCGTGTGTGTGTGCATGTGTGTGTGCATGTGTGCATGCGTGTGTGTGCCATTCTTTAAAGAAGCAGAATGAGAAAAAAAAGTACAGTAGTTGCAAAATCAATATCCATGAAACATTTTTGACAGTGTCCAAGTTTGTCACTGACAGCACAATGTTAACATGAATATTTTGTGGAATAACAATTTTTAGATTTGCTATACATTTGTTACAATAAACAGTATAATGCAGACTTTCACACAAATACTCACAACTAGAATAGGTACTCAGACAAACAGGTTAGGTACACTAGCAGTTCAAATGTTCAAGTGTTAGAACATAAACATGTAAACAGTCTGTATACAGTTGTTCACAGAAATTCACGAATGGGATCTACACACCAGTGTAGACTTTAAAGTCAATGTTTTAATAGTGAACCCCCGCCCCCCTCCCCCTCTGTGTGGGTTCCGGGGCCCCATTGTGGGGAAAACAAGAATAGACCCACTACATCCTCAAAAGCATGTCGTAAGAGTCGACTAATTGGGGAGCTTCCTTTGAAGTCGGAGTGCATCTGCCGGAGAGGCAGTCTGTATTCAAGAGAATGAGATCTGTAAAACTGATGCACACGCAACACTCAGGTTCTGGAGCAGGACTGCAGTTCAGTAGTGGACGAGCAACCAGAACCTTCCGCCAGAGTGTACAGCTGGTGAAAGTGAAGAAGAAGAAGAAGAAGAAGAAGAAGAAGAAGAAGAAGAATAGTGAAACCCTTGACAATATACTGAGCCCCATGAATATATATATATACTAGCTGTACCCGGCCACGCGTTGCTGTGGCATAGTTTGGCTAGTTGGAAATGAAAGAAAATAGAAATCGCACGTGTCTAATACAATCATTGTCTGCTCATATATATCTAACAGATGGTCTTGATCCCTGCCCACCACCACAACTAAATCCAACCTACTACTATCTCCCCATCATCAAAGGTTTTGGAAACTAAGAACAATGGAAATCGCACGTGTCTAATACAGTTAATGTCACAATCATTCTCTTGCACAGATATAGCGATAGTCTGGTTTTCCAACTTTAGAACACCAAGCACCTTATAATTGTGTCTTTATATTAGTGGGTCGTTTTAAATGGTGTTTATTAGCACAGTAACAAAAATGGTTATTTGGGTTATCAACATGCTAAAGCTGTTTGTATTTTTATAGGGACGGAAGTAAAGCTACAACTGTACTTGTGTGAATAACAAAGTAAGTCGTAAAAAATAGAAAAAGCGGAGGTAGCGTTAGTAAAATATAAACAAATTAGGTAATGAGAACTTGAAAATCAAGTGTAAAAGCTCTTTAATTTCTCTTAAATTTAAGTCATTACCCCTCCCCTCTTCCACCGACTACTGCTCTCTCCCTCTTCGAAGGATTTGAAAAATCACTAACTGGCGATATTTTGTTGTTGCTGTAACTGACATTGACATCCCTGTCCATCTGGACTAAAATAGGGAGCAGGAATTGTAAAAGGTAGTGAATAGGGCTAGTGTAATATTTACCACACCATCATCCTTCAAGTACAGTACAACTACTAAAATAAATGTCACTGCTATCTGTGTTACCATCGGAGTAGACAAAGAGTCGTGAGCCAGAAGATTTGGTTCCGCATGGCTAGTGCTGTCGCCACAGACTGGTCAGGTTAGGATTGTATAAATTTCACTTGCCGACAGAAGAACGCCAAAACATAACCCTAACCGGCGGTCTTCACATGAGAGAACTATGGTGTAACAGCCCTGGTGTAACAACTATTACTACTGCTGCTACTTTAAGTGGGTAAAGCAGTTACTGTGACTTAAAGCTCTCTCAGTTAATAGTTTGCCCCTCCCCCTCCCCCCAAATTCACCGACAACTCTTTCCCTCATTGAAGTAGTTGGGAGAAAAAAAAAACCACTTGAAAAGCAAACGAACACAGGAAAAAAACACCATAATTAGGAAATGAACGCCATTGTAAACAGCACAGCTTAAAATTCCAACACAGATGAAATAACTAAATCTAAATGAAAATCTATAAAATTTCAGCGTAACCATGCAATCGGAAAGTTTAACAATGCAATCATAAGTATGCGAAATGGTCAAATTAATTAATTATCAAATAGTTTACCCATTTACTTTTTTTTTTTTTTTTTATTAAGGCAACATGGCTAGTGCTGTCACCACGACAGAGCAGATGAGGATATTATTTTAGTTCTGGGTAAAAAAAAAAAAATCAACAACTGCGGATTCGAACCCAGGTCTACCGCACATGAACCAAGTGTTCTAACCATTCGACCAAGCAGCCACTTAATGGGATCAACGAAAAGAGAACTCAACTATTAGACATGTGAGTCCCTACTACTGTGTCTTGAAAAAAAAAAACAGAAAATAGAAATCGCGTTTAATATGGTTATTGTGGCAAATATAAAGATAGTCTTGTTTGCTGTACCACGACCTACTCTATGTATTAGTATTAGAGAAGGCGTAACTCGCCGGCGAATGGTAAATACGGCGCATGCGCAATTACTAACGTGGCTATAATTAGAAATCACTAAAGTTATAAATATTAGTTGCGTATAATTTGGCAATATTTGTGGTCACCTATCTCTTACAGTGACAGGTTGAATTTCAAACCACGACGGTTCAAAATCCGGTATCACAACAAACATATCCTGAAATTTTCAGCTAAATCGGTTCAGTAGTTTCCGAGTCTATAGGGGTGAAACAAACACACAAACATTGATTTTTATATATATAGATATATTGTCCTACACATCTTGATATTAAAAATGATAAATAAAACGTAATTTGGTTCATATATTGGTTCATATATTGGTTCATATATTGGTTCATATATTAGTTCATATATTGGTTCATATATTGGTTCATATATTGGTTCATATATTGGTTCATATATTGGTTCATATATTGGTTCATATATTGGTTCATATATTGGTTCATATATTGGTTCATATATTGGTTCATATATTGGTTCATATATTGGTTCATATATTGGTTCATATATATAGATTCTCCTATACATCTTTATATCAAAAATGATAAATAAAACGTAATTTGGTTCAGAATATTCTTGCACCAAATTGAATTGTCGTATACAAAGCGTATATTTGCAGAGCTTTACCTCGATAACTTATCATGAAATAGTGTAAAAATTGATAGAGAGACACGTAAATACATATTTTCCCGTGTGAGTTCCAGGGCCCTATTGCAGTAATAACAAGGATGAACTTACTGCCTACCCAAAACCATGTGTCGGCTAAATAGGAGCTTCCTTCTGAGAAGGAATGCATCTGCTTGAAAAGCAGGGAATCCGCAGTCTGCATACAAATGAGTAAGATCTGTAAAACTGATGCGCAAACAACGCCAAAGTTCTGCAGCAGGACTAAGTCCAGAAATGGACGAACAACCAGAACTTGCCACCAGAGTTTATAGCTGGCGAACGCGAAGAAGAAGACACACATATATACATACATATATAAACACACACGCCCGGCTCGCTAGCGTAGTTGGCTAAACCGGATTGCGCGGTGACCGGGTGACGAACTCCTTGTGGTCCGGGTTCACGCCCGGGGGTGGGCAGAAAAGCCACATTTTTCCCAGATTCACGGTATTTATCATGGAATCAAGGCCGAAAGGTTGCGATATCCATAATACCGAGCCTAATGGTTAACAACTCATGGCTTCTGGATACTTAAAAAAAAAAAAATACACACACATACAAAAGCGAATATAATAAAAGCTTTTAAAAACTTGTTTTCTATGTTCTATGACAGTTTTACAAGAGTCACGCATTAAATAAGTCTGAGTGTCACCAGGTAATGTTCCCAGAGACATAGGTAAAAGTAAGTACACCTAAGTCAAGGACTCTTTTCCATGCCTCTATGCGTATCGGGTATATAGGGCTAGACCTATATATTATAGACCAAACGGCACTTGGTGGGTGACGTGGTCAGCATCACGCCGGCCACCTTTACTTCCCAGGACTGTAATTTGTATCCACTCAAGGTTGGGTCGACCTGGGAGCCAAGGCTATTTTTGAAAAAAGTTCGGTCCCTCTCAGGACCCGAACCCACGACCTTCTGATCCGCAGGCGAGCGTCTAGCCACTGGACCACGGCGGCTCCCCAAAAGATATCAGTGGCCACACTGAAAAAAACTTTAATTGTGAAGAGGACACATAATTGTTATTTTTGATGTTTGGTAATACAGCTTTAAAAAAAAAAAAACAAAATAATAATAATTATTACCTAAAGTCAGAATGCATATATTTCGAACGAATTGTCCGCTGGCGCATTGAAATCTACCCCAGTTTTTGAAGCGTGTGAGAAAGGGGTTGATGACATCGTCAGTTTCCGGTTCACCTAAAGGTAGTCAATAAAACTTTATAACATCAATTAGAACAGAAAGCAAATTTGCAATCATAAGGCACTCATAATGACACAAATTCAAGTTTGTATTGTCTTCGTTTTCGTCTTCGTCTTCGTCCTCGTCCTCGTCTTCGTCTTCTTCTTCTTCTTCTTCTTTCTTCTTCTTCTTCTTCTTCTTCTTCTTCTTCTTCTTCTTCTTCTTCTTCTTCTTCTTCTTCTTCTTCTTCTTCTTCTTCTTCTTCTTCTTCTTCTTCTTCTTCTTCTTCTTCTTCTTCTTCTTCTTCTTCTTCTTCTTCTTCTTCTTCTTCTTCTTCTTCTTCTTCTTCTTCTTCTTCTTCTTCTTCTTGAAGAAGTTTACTGAGTCCTACCTATCTCATAAACTCAAGATTGAAGTCAAGTCTGTAGTTTGAGCCGACTGGACCTGGACCGTAGTTTCCACTGATCTTGGTATATATTGTGCTGTCTTTAAAAAAAAATCTCTTCATTGATATCCTACATTTGTTGATGTTCAGTACATCATGCATTGTTAATCTATTTAATAATTTGTTGGTGTAAATAATTTCACTGTTTCCTTTATTTCACAGATTTCTGATATTACTGTTTTTTTTTTTTTAACTATGATAGTGTTTATATCTAGTTTGGGAGCAAACAAGTAGGGAGGAATTGTGGCCAAGCTGTGCACAGAGAAATCTAGTTGTCTTGTGGAGCCTGGTTACTTAAGTTGCTTTATCCCTAAAGGAACGTTGCGTGGTATACTGGAACTACAGAGAACCTTACGAGCCACCATCTCCATATTAAATCCTTTCAGATTGTCTTTGTTAATTAGAGGAATCTTAAAAATAGACACGCGACAGACACGTCATGTGACACTAGCGACTCGTCAATTGGTCAACTTAAAATACTATTGATGCTACTGTGATGTCGTCACCTGCCTAAGCTATTGTCGTGCACCCTTTCACGGAGAGGCACAATTGATGACAAAGTAAATGCAAGGATCTCTAGGGCTAACGTTGCCTTTGGCAGACTTGTACAAATTTGTTTGGAACAGAAATGGCGTAACCCTGCAGACAAAGCCTAAAGTTTACAGAGCAGTTGTATTAACTACACTGCTGTATGCAAGTGAAACATAGACTTTAAATAAGCGCAGGCGTTTGGCACTGCAGCCAGCAGTGTTAAGGTTGGCTAACTTGTCTTCGGAGGGGTGAAAAGGTGAAATTCAAGTAGCCTGCTAATGACTCGAAGAGCACCCAGGTCAACCACGTCAAAAAACTGAAGCCGCGAGGTTTTAGGCTAACGGGGCAATGGCTCGTCTGGAAGGAGACGGGCACCAACTATATCAGATTTGTGTTCTGCCCTGACGCGCGATGGGTCTAGCAAGCCGGCAGTGGTGTATTTGTTTGTTACCACACAAGAAATATTGAAGTAGGACATCTGGGGAAAAGGCCAAGAAAGAGATTGATAAGTGTGGTAGCAGAAAACTGCAAAAAAGATGAATAAATCTATCGCCCAAGCCACCCGAAAAGCGCAAGACTAATACAGAATACCATGACACGAGGTTACCACCTGGTATCACATAGACGACAAAAGAAGAAGTAGAGATTTTTTTTTTTAAGCTCACCCTTTAGACCGTTGCAAACCAGTCCTAAAATCTTCTTTCTTCCTGTTCGTCCACTTCTGGACTGCAGTCTTGTTCCAGAACCTGAGTGTTGCCTGTGCATCCGTTCGACAGATCTGACTAATTTGTATGCAGACTGCTGGTTCCTTGCCTCCCAGGCAGATGCACACTGACTACGAAGAAAGCTCCCAAACAGTCTACTCTTACGACATCCTTTTGGGTAGGCAGTGGGTCTATGCTTGTTTTCCCCCAATAATAGGGCTCCGGTACCCACACGGGGATAGTCCCAGAATGTCTCGGTTGTTTGTGATTTCACTATGCATTTTTTAAAATGTTTAATGTGTGGAATAATCTACGTCACTGTCGGCGCTAGACAAATTCAACGCATAGTAGTCTGCTGTCAAATCAGGCGAACCGAGCCTGGTATTTTGGGAATTATAAAAGTACAAACAATAAACCAGAAATTGATACCTTTGTAAGCGCCTCTGATTCCCAACTGCGGGTTGTAGTTAAGAGTGGCAAAGTAAGTTTCGTCCGGAACAAATGTGTACGTCTTAGCCCAGTGCAGAATTTCTTTAGCAGTTTTATTATGCAGTATGTAGCCAACGAAATCC